AGCCAGTGGTCGTGTAGAATATTCCCGTCACGGTGATAATAAAAATAAACGAGGTCATTTTTTGTTTGTTTTCCTATCTGTTACGCCCGCGACGTAACAATTAAAGAGCAGTTTATGAACGGGGTCAACGAAATATAAATTTTCTGTGTTGTTATTAGTTAAATTGCGAATACTCGTATAGCAGTCGTCTTGACTGTTTCTGCTACGATGCAGTAATGCTTTTCAGTTTGAAGGGCGAGTCAGCTGTTTATAGAATATAATTATTTAGCCTTCGGGTATTCGACCACAATATTCACGACTTTTACTCACCACAAAAAGAAATTGTATAACTAAACTGTTTTTGTCGTTTTTTTCCTACTTATGCTGATAGCCTTGAGAGGCCATTTCAGTTTCGCCCTAACATGTAGGTGAGCTCACGGGGCTTTAACTTGACGTCGTTGCTAACACGAACCTTAGCAGGAGCCGTGCTTCGCAGAATCTACCACCGGATCGGACACGCGACCCACTGAGAAGATCCGGCGAGAAACTAATTTACTCGTCGCAAGAGGGTTCGGCGAGAACCATAACCGAAGACAGCTCCGTCGTTAAAGAAATTTTCTATTTGGAGTATGTGTTTCAGACAACCATACACACAAGTAAATCTTGAATGTAAATATTTAGTTCTTTCTGCTACCGTATTCCGTATTCTGCTATTTCGCAATTCAATTAGCTGCATCAAGTTCAGTTTAGTTTGTGGTCAAAAATCTTCACGAACGAACTTATTTTACATCGACCTCTGAACATGGTAAAAAGGCGATCGAACGCTTACGAATTCAGACTTCTGTCTAGTACAGAGCCGTTAGTATAATCTGTATCTCAGAATTAGCATATAAACACACAATACAACATGCGATATATCAATGAACCGACTTAAATTATTGCTTAAATCGTAAACTGAGATTGCAGTCTCTCGTAATTGCTGGGATGCGTGGCAGCGGGTGCAAACATCGATTTGGCACTCTGCCGCTTGAAGTCAACCGAGCTGGATTATCGATTAATAAACGATTAGTTTAACGATTCTTGAGATGGAGTTTTATTACCTATTGAAAGCTGACGCGCCGCCTTAACAATGCCGCTTTGTTACAAATACAATGCAATAACGCCCATTTTCTATATTTTTACTAGCTGATCCGGCTGACTTCGTAGTTGCTCAATCGATAAATAAAAGACCTAAAATTTGGATAAAAAATAAAATTAAAACAAACAAAAGGAATTCGTTCGACGGGGGATACAACAAACGAAACACAAAATTGTTATTTTTATTTAATTCTTAACTTCTCTTTAAGCCTTCTCTGGACTTCAACAAATAATTCAAAACCAAATTTAGCGAAATTGGTTCAGCCGTTCTTGAGTTTTAGCGAGACTAACGAACAGCAATTCACTTTTATATCTATTTTTATATAAATATTCTTCTTCTTCCTAGCCCTTTCCCGGTCTAGTACCAGGGTCCGCATTTTCTTATAAATAATAAACACAAATAATTTATAGAGAAAATAACATCTTGATTTGAATATCCAACTCAGGCCACATAAAGTAATCGTCTTATAATTATTAAACTAACCTAAATGATTAAATACTGTTAAACGCATATACTCATTACTTATTATAAAACGCGAACACACTTGAAACTCACGCAGATTTACTTCGACCATATAGTTTCTGCTACAAAGATAGATTGTACGTGCTTCCTCAGTTTTATATACGAAAAAAGGCGGAAGCTCTTGGAATTAATGATTTTTTACAAAATCTCTTTCTTCTCTCTAAATTTTCAACAAAAAATCTCTGTTTTTGTTGAAAATCTCCTATCTATGTTATTAAACTATTGATAAATTTAAAAGCATAAATTTAAATCCAGCCGGTAGGCAGCGGCTTGGCTCTGTCCCTGGCATTGCTGACGTCTATGAGCGACGGTAACCACTCACCATCAGGTGGGCCGTATGCTCGTCTGCCTATACGGCAATAAAAAAAAAGCATCGTTAAAGATTTTACAAGCAAAGCATCTTATTTATAAAACAAATTAAGCACATATTTGCATGCTTTAAGTTATATTACCGGAGTAAAATAGCGCGAAATCTGTTTTAAAAGGTACTTAGTAGAATGCGTCTCCCCTAATTGTGTTTTCTGACGGAATGTAACAGTATTATGAGCAACCGTCGTCTTGAGTCGTGGCGTGCCCTGTCGGCAATCAAAACAATTTATTATCTTGTTTCAAGGATTACATTTCGGTGGCGTGTTCGATTAAAATTTTTTATTACGTTTTTATTGACCAATTCGTTTTAATGCAATTAAATAATTTTGCATTATGAATGCATCTTCGGGTTCTCTGAAGATGGACGGTAAAAAAACTAGGCGAAATCGCGTAACCACTGTTCACTGTGGTGGTAGGACCTCTTGAGAGTCCGCGCGGGTAGGTACCACCACCCTGCCTATGTCTGCCGTGAAGTAGTAATGCGTTTCGGTTTGAAGGGTGGGGCAGCCGTTGTAACTATACCTGAGACCTTAGAACTGATGTCTCAAGGTGGGTGGCGCATTTACGTTGTAGATGTCTATGGGCTCCAGTAACCACTTAACACCAGGTGGGCTGTGAGCTCGTCCACCCATCTAACGAATAAAAAAAAATTTAATTCACTGTATTTTGTAATTTTTACAACTAAACATTTTGTTTTTAGCACAAAATAGATAAATTTAAAGAATATATTATACAACTATTTTGCTTTCAGTCTTTAAAGTCCCATATATTTGGTACTTTTAAACGTTTTGCAAAGAATCGAATTTTCGATATAAATCATGTAAGTACGAACAAGATTTAGAAAAACTTTCTAAAGTACAATGAAAGCATAAAATAAGTCAATAAAAACTTGGTAGAAGTTTTTGAACCGGTCATAAGAATGATTTACAATGAAAATGCTGTGAAAATCGCCAATATGATATTATTTTATTTAGAGGGAGTAAATACGAAGCGCTTGGAATGGAGATCCCCGATCGTACGAACTAGGATTTACGTAATTGACGTCCTGCCAACCTGACCAATAATTTAACGTAACTCAATATAGATTACAGAAAAGTTTAATCAACCGTAACGCTGTTTGGTTTTTGCTCGGTTAAAAGTATTTGTTGTTGTTTTGTTTTGTGTTTTAGGAGGAATTAAACTGATTTGTATATTCTGTTTCATTGAAATTGTTGATATTTTTAGTGAATATATTTAAGGGCGGATACATAGTCATTCTAGTTTTAATCCACGATTCTTAAGTCAATGATGAAAGCATCGCTCTCTTGAGATGTTACGTAATCCCATGCATAATAAAGTTGATGCCATCGCCTAGGTTGAGTGTCAACCGAGTTTGAGGAGCAGTTATTGTTATCCTTTAAGTTGAACCACATGATTAATTCACTAAAAAAATAACCTAAGCATCAGGGTAGAAAACACACGACACATGATCACGATATGATACCTTTTAAATATATTGCTAACTTGCTTTATAACACTAACTTTATTGTATAAATCTTTCATCGAAACGTTTTGATGCGTCTAACTAAAACTTTAAGCTGTTCTCTTTAATGTAAACAATGATTTTTGTAGAAAGTTTATTTTTAAGTTTAGTCTAAATATGATTTTGATTTCAGACTGTTTAACCCTTTAACTGCCATGTTAAGGATTCAGGATTGCCTAACTTTGCTTTCTTTTGTTTGTTAATGGATGTTTTGTTTTTTAGCGTCTCTTAGAAATAAATTAATCACAGTATCGTTCGGATTCTTTATTCCTAGAGTCTCCTCGATGTTTTGGCGCCTTAGTAAAAGAAATTGACATAATTATGCTTTTGTGTGCCGCGTAAAGCACCGCTGATCTACACGGCAGTCAAAGGGTTAAGCTATCGATTTCTTGAATATGCCCGCAGCTTTTCTGCACGTATCAAACGTTAACAACCTTTGTCCAACAACGGGTGAAAATGTAACCGTCTAAAGAATTTACTCACGTAGATTTCGTGCTGGGAAAATCAAATACGAATAGACTTATACAAGTAAGTTGGCGTGTTTGTTGGAATTTTTACTCCAAATATACTCTGGATTACGTCTACGATAATGGTGGCATCAAGTTTTTTATTTAAGTTCGTTACATCTGATCATAAGATAGAATAGATAGAGATAGATATGCAGTTAGATAAGAGTATCAGCAGAGAGAAAGCAGTGGAAAATAGTTTACTGGTGGTAGACCTCTTGTGAGTTTGCATGGGTAGGTACCACTACTCCGCCTATATCTGCCGTGAGGCAGTAATGCGCTTCAGCTTGAAGGGTGGGGCAGCCGTTGTAACTATACTGAGACCTTAGAACTTATATCTCAAGTTGGGTGGCGCATTTACGTTGTAGATGTCTATGGGCTCCAATAACCACTTAATACCAGGTAATCTGTGAGCTCGTCCACCCATCTAAGCCATAAAAAAAAAAGGAGTAGGTCTTTGCCGAAAGGCACACCAAGACGAGGGATATTTTGTAGTCGAAGTGTAGATTTTACTCTTATATTTTGTTTTCATATAATATATTGTTTTTTTAGTCTACTTGAAATTGTTAGTTTAAAATGTAAAATGTTCGGGAAATAAAGGCATTATTATTATTATTATTATATATCACCATAATATGTTTAAGATTTTTAATCCTTTTGATTAGTATATTAATTCATTTTTTAAAACTACTATTGTGACATTCAGTTTGTATCTAAACAAATTTAACCCGTAATTTCCGGCGAGAGGCATGTTCGTGTAATGAAGTTAGCATGAACCCATCACAGCGAACGTTTTAGTCAATACTGTTCTGAGTGGTGTTGTTTTGTTTGGAGTCTGTCTAGTCGCCGTTTCAGTGAACGAACTTCGAAAATAAACCTTTTAGGATTTTATTGCCTTTTTTTGTGAAACAACTGCAACCTAAGGGGTTATAAGCGAAAAGTGAATTGAAAAAAAAAAACGTACCTTCTAAAATCTCTGCTCCAACAGGCGTATATAACAGGATTCATGGAAGAGTTCACCCAACCCAGCCACGTTACGACCACGTTAACGATCTCCTCGTGCGCTATGCACGCCGAACAAATTCCCGATAACAAGTTCACCACAAAGAACGGTAACCAGCACACTATGAACACACCCATAACTATACCTAAAGTCTTGGCCGCTTTCTTCTCTTTCGCGAATTTGGCTAGTTTACGGGACAGCGAAAAGTTTTTCGGCAAATGCTTGCCGTGAGTCACGTTTGTTAGACGCGTAGAAGATCGCGATAGACCATTGTTCTGGAGTGCTGTTAGTGGTTCTTGATCAGCTTCTTCGGGCGTGCATACTCCGTGGCAAACGTCGTTTCGCTGACGCATCGTCCCGCCCCTGTGGATCCGAAGCGTCAACTCCAATTCGCCACTCGGTCTCATCACTTGTTTAGTGCCGATTTTAAGTGACCTCGTTTGTATCGTTGCCGCTCTATATATTCTATAATAAGTGAACACCATCACGAAAAGCGGCAAATAAAACGATATTGTCGACGAGAATATAATGTACTCCAAGTTTTCCGTGAACGGGCACTTGTAATCGGGAACTTCTTCAGTGCGAACAGCGCGCCACCACGCGATCGCTGGGAATGATATCGCACCGGAACACACCCACACGGCGGCTATTAGAAAAGCTGCCTTGCGTCCGCTCATTCGCATAGGATATGTTATCGGGTCCGTGATAGCCCAGTAACGGTCCAGTGAGATCACGCACAAGTTTAAAATGGAAGCGGTACTGAATAAAACATCTAACGAACGCCACACGTCACACCAGTCGACACCAAAGAACCACGTGTGTTCTAAAACTTCGTATAGGGCCGAAAAAGGCATAACCACAAGTCCGACGAGACAATCGGCCACTGCAAGAGAAGTCACGAAGTAATTCGTTGAGGTGTGCAAGTATCGTTCGCGTACTACGGCCAATATAACTAGCATGTTTCCAAAGACTGTCGTCAAGGAGAATAATAGCAGAAACGACACGAGCAACGCTCTGTCATGAAGAAGCTTGATGTAGTCATTCCAAAGACCTTCTGGTTCGCTGGAGACATTGTAGGCGCTGATGTTATCGAAGGTGAGGTTGAATTCTATGGCATTGTTGTAGGCGGCACCCGTGAACTCCAGTGTGTACTCTGGGCTTCTATACGATGAGTCCAGTTGGCCTCTTGCCACTACTATATCCGGTTCGGTGGCATTCATATTTTGCCGATAGTTATTTGTTCGCTAGCGTCATGGTGAGAGTTTATGTTTCCCCTGTTTTGCTCGCAGCCATTTCGAGATTACATTCTTGGCAGGCATTGTACTCCAGCATTTCAATTTCTGGCACATGTTTTTCTTGACATATTTTTTGTTCACTCGCGATCTGTAACAAAAACAAAAACGCTTTAAGGACTTCGTCGATTTTTCCTTTACTAAATGGTTCGTTTCCTTTGGAAAATGAGTTCCATTTAATTGTTTCTGATGTTCATTTCATAAATAGAATATTATACTGAATCTGTCATGAGACTAATCAAGTTCATGAATTATTTTTTTGCTGTTTTACTCAATAGTCCTTAAACTGTTATGTAGTAACGTGAGTCAATACAAAATCGTATAATATATATATATTAGAACAGCGATAAATTAAAATTGGATATATTAAGTCTTTAAAGTAGTTACTTATATAAGTTTTTATAAATAAAAGATCGTAAGGCATAATTACTATGGCTTCGGCGATACCTAATTACTGTACCATAATTCACGCCAGACTTACTTTTTCGGTTCTTTCAAACCTCCTACGATTCAAAGATGTTGTCCTAATTTCGATTACTTTCTAACAGGGGCTTCGGTTCTTTCAAACCTCCTACGATTCAAAGATGTTGTCCTAATTTCGATTACTTTCTAACAGGGGCTTAATTAAAACTACTTTTACAGTTTTAAAGTTTTTATACAATTTTATACTTTTCGAAGACTCTGTCAATTATAAAAGTAGACATTGAAAAACGCTAGATTAAATTGTAAAAGAAGTTGTAATTATATTTACGGCTCGTGAAAACCCAGGAAAATGCTATAAGAATTTCTTTCTGTCGTGCTCATAACAATTAAAATCTTAATTGTACTATTAGATTTTGACGACAAAACAGAAGACACAGAACGTGACGATATCTCGTCATTATCATGGACGACGTCATCAGCGACAGATGCCCTTGCTGTTTGTATATATATATAGCGCTCAGGGCAGGCGGTGAGATCAAACGAATTGTGTGCCGTGGGCCGTGAGCAGCTCGTCCACATGACGGGGTCTGAACCGATCGGTTCGTCCCTCCGACCTCGCACCCTCCCGCTGTTGAACTTTACAATGTTAACTCATAGCTTTTGAGTTTTTACTTTTACAACTTGCACTAAATATACCGTCATCATCATCAGCATAATAACTCAGGTTAACGCAGTAACGTATTCCGCATTAATAATAGTCAATTAATAAAAAAAATAACCTGTGACTTCTAAAAAGGTTTTAATCAATGACAAGCACTTTACTATTAACGCATTAACGTGTTCCGCATCAATTTTATTTTTTATTTATTTATACTTATTGTACACACAAAGAAAATACAATAAAAACAGATTTAAAGAATGTCTAAATACTATGTACAAAGGCGAGCTTAACTCATTCATGAGTTTTCTTCCAGCAAACCATTAGCAGAGTGAAATACGATGTATAAGAGGGGAATAGTGTACAATATAAAAGCTATTAAAGCATGATTTATAAACTAAGCTTTAAAAAAAAACTAATATAAAATGAAAAATACATATAATCAATAATAGTCAATTTATAAAAAAAAAACCTGTGACTTCGAAAAGGCTTCTAATCAATGACAAGCACTTTACTATTAACGCATTAACGTGTTCCGCATCAATATTAATAGTCAATTAATAAGAAAAATAACCTGTGACTTCGAAAAGGCTTCTAATTAATGACAAGCCCTTTACTATTTACAGGGCAAACTTGGATTTTTATACGGTTTGACATAGACTAAGCACTTAATTAAAAGAAGATGAAGATTAATATTCTACCAACTATGTTTAACGGTACTCGTTTTTATTAACAAAATTGAAGCAACCACGCAGATGTTATTTCAACTTTCAATTGACAATTTAAGGGTAACATCAATGTTATTATTAAAATAACTTATACGGTTTAATCTCGCATTTTTATTGTCATTATAATTCAAGGAGGCTATTTGGTTTAAGCAGTATTTTTCCAACTTTACGTATACTTCAGCTGTATACTTTAACCCCCAGATACAGCCCACTGAGTTTCTCGCCGGATCTTCTCAGTGGGTCGCGTTTTCGATCCGGTGGTAGATTCTGCGAAGCACGGCTCTTGCTAGGGTCCGTGTTAGCAGCGTGATCAGGTTTGAGCCCCGTGAGCTCACCTACTAGTTAAGGCGACGCTGATATAGCCTCTCAAGGCTATCAGCCTAGGTAGGAAAAAAAAGGTGGCGACGGTATTGGAAGAGTTGCAGACATCTACACACGACGAGTTGGCATTCGTTGTGCTTTTAACACTATCTGCCCACTCCCTATCAATTGTTAAAGATACTTCAATTGGGGAGTATGTTCAGTTTCTTAACGTAAAAATTTCAGCGAGCGACGTCCGCCATGACACTATTTCTCTTTCAAATCCAGCTGCTAAGAGCAACGCATCAATTTTATATTTCTTTTATATTAAGTTTTCAATTGGTCATATAAAGATAAAATAAATATCTAAAAACAATGAATACAGTTCACGCTCAATTGCCACAACGCAAGAGCTTATTTGGCTAAACCAGCACATGACTCACCTGGTTGTAGTAGGTATTATCTATGGTTTTCATAGACATAATTAAAACTACTTTTACGGCTTAGTGTTCGTTTTTGTTGTCATTAAATAATCAGATTTCTATACATTAGAGTTTTATGGTCACAGATGACTAAGCTGTTAGTGGTCGAGTATATTTAATAACTAGGTGAGTTCCGCGATGTCACCCGCGGTGATTGGGTGACGCCGCGGGGCGAAGCTAGTCTATAAAAGGTAGCCTAAGCTACTCCTTAGATCATCAGCTACCTATAAGTGAAAGTCCCGTCAAAATCGGTCCAGCCGTTCCAAAGATTAGCTGGAACAAACAGACCAACACACAGACAGACAAAATTAAAAATAGAAATGTTATTTTGGTATATTATTATGTACCGTGTATACATACAGACCTACGCATTTAGTAAAAAGTGGTTATTTTATTATTACAAACAGACACGCCAATTTTATTTATTTGATGATCATGATGATGATATAGATAAGAAAAAGCCTGAATTGTAATTTTACTTATGATGTTAAGTGGCTACCAGAGACCACAGATACCATAAAGTGATTTCCGCCCACCTTGAGGAACAAGAGGAACGAAGGTTGAAGTTATTAGTATGCATATACGATGCTCATAACACCCTACTGTCCGTTTATCCATAAAGGCCTTAGTTTTTAGTTTTTATTTTTTATTTTTCTTAGATGGGTGAACGAGCTCACAGCCCACCTGGTGTTAAGTGGTTACAGGAGCCAATAGACATCTACAACGTAAATGCGCCACCCACCTTGAGATATAAGTTCTAAGGTCTCAGGTATAGTTACATAAGTGTAGTTACCATTAACGGAAGCAAGAAAAAGATGTGTAGAAAAAGAAGTAAACACAATTTTTCAACTGAGAATACGTGACTGATTCAATACATCAGTTACATCATGCATTTGCAGTTACGATGGAATAAGCACTTTATCAGTTTGTTGATGTATCAGTTCATAAAAATTCGTTTTCGCAGCTATTTTTCGGGTAAGAATCAATTTTGTAAGTTAAAAATAACTTATTCAATTTAGGAAGAATACGCAGAAAAGTTGAAAACCTTTCACGCTGATTCTGTACTGAATGTATTGGTTTTTTTTTTGACGTAGACAAGGAAATTATTCGTTTGTCATAATAGTCATTTTGATCTTAACAAAAACTAAAATTAATCTAAACAAAGATAAGCTCGCATATATAGAATATGTGGGATTATATGGCAAAATCTTATTTTTTTTAAAACCATTCGTAATCTAGTCTTAATCGATGACTGACATCGACATTCATATTCATTTAAAACAAATCTAGTGTGCCAGTCCGAATTAAATAAAGACTAAAAAAAAATCTAACTTAAATCTAAAAAATACCGATCTTCCCATACATAGGGTTTTTCGTACATACTCGTAACCCTTACCTTTTAAAATAAAAAAAAAATTGTGGCAATATCACTTAAACAGGTTTTTCTATTTTATTTTTAAGTTCGAGAGCTTTTAATGAAAAACTTTATTATGGTAACATTTTAATACATTTTTATCAATTTTTTTTTGAATATATTCTTATTACGAACTACAAATTTTTCTTAGGCATTTCAGAATAACTGCAGTGGCCGCCCACTCTTTACATTCAATTTTTATAGAGAATAATACTCTTTTTACTACTCTGTTCAGCATATACTTGCAAAGAAAACAGCTTCATATTATGACGGGATAAATCTTTTACGTCATGCTTTTTAGCCTCACACACGACTTGTTTTAAGGATGTTTAAGAGCCAATTTTATGATACACGTCCTCTGTTAAATCTTTTTGAATGCTAAATTTCAATGTATTGTTATCGTTGAAGCTTCACTACATCGTAAAAAAAGTTTAAAGACTTACTATGTATGATTTAAACACGCGATTCAAAGAATCTCAACTGAATATTCCGATAAAGTTGAAAAACATTTTTTTCGTTATGAAAAATGATATGTCTTTTCTTCTGGTTATTTGCACCGATTTCTGGGGTTTGTCCCTGTATTAGTGTCAATGGCGGGCCCTACGGATTGGATTGAGGCTCGACCATTAATTTAACATACAACGCTGTCTCATGCACACGACTGCCAAGCAATTTCAAGTGTCACGCGACTCGCTATCAATCACTGAGAATACTTCGCACGAAATTCGACCTTGATGCCCTCGAGACAAAGGAAGTTTCACTTTAAATCTGCGATGAAGTGGATTTTCTGAGTAGAGGCGTGATTGAGCGGTTCCTTGGTTTGATTCGAAAGTTAACCGGAGTTTTTCACTATTCCTTAACCCATTTAGATTTTTCTTGCGTAATGGATTTTTGTTTGTGTTTTATTTCTAAGATTTTGTTCC